GGGAGGGAGGGAGGAAGGAAGGAAGGAAGGAAGGAAGGAGCCAGGGTGGCACAGTTGTTAGAATGCAGTATTGCATTCTGCTCACTGCCATGGATTCGATTCTGACAAGCTCAAGGTTGACTCAGCCTTCCATCCTTCTGAGGTTGGTAAAATGAGGACCCAGATTGTTGGGGGCAACATGCTGACTCTGTAAACCGCTTAGACAGGGCAGTAAAAGCACCGTGAAGCGGTATATAAGTCTAAGTGCTATTGCTACCTGAAACCACTTGTTGACAAAGCCACCGTGACCTCCTGATCCCTTTCTTTTGTATCCTTAGCTACGCTTCAAGATGCGTGATTGCTGCAAATAGGTCGATCTCCCGCTATTCTGAGGCAGGAAACATAAGAAAATGATAATATAAGCCCTAAAATAGACTTAACGATGGATACCTTGGTGCAACACCCTCAACCTTATTATTGAGATTAATCCATTTCCTGACTTTGCACAATATTCTGAATCATGCAGGTTAAGCAAACACTCAGCCAAACAAATTGCTACCCCCGAATAATCAGGATAAAGCTAACCGAGCTTATCCCATTGTACAAAGGCAGGACTTGATTAAGCATTTAACTGTCCTTAATCAGAGCCAATATTAACCAAGGCAAAACCGTAATTCTGCCCAGGTTCCATCACTTCTGGTCTATTTCAGGGTTTTTCCCCCCTTCTATTAATTTCAGTGTTACATCTGACTTTGGTTATGACTTTGCCTAACCCAGGAGTGGTTTTTTAGTTTAATATATCTCAGAGAGGTCATCCTGCCAGCAAAAGTGCGTATAGTCAAGGCTACGGTTTTCCCAGTTGCAATGGATGGCTGAGAAATTTGGTCCATAAGAAAGGCTGAGAGCCAAAGAATTGAGGCCTTTGAACTCTGGTGCTGGAGAAGAAGACTCCTGCATTGAGTCCCTTGGACTGCAAGGCCATCCAACCGGTTAGTCCTAGAGGAGATCAACCCTGACTGCTCTTTAGAAGACCAGATCCTGAAGAGGAAACTCAAAGACTTTGGCCACCTAATGAGAAGGAAGAAGGACTCCCTGGAGAAGAGCCTCATGCTGGGAAAGATGGAGGGCAAGAGAAGAAGGGGACGACGGAGAATGAGGTGGCTTGGATGGAGTCATTGAAGCAGTAAATGTGAGCTTAAATAGACTCCAGAGGATGGTAGAGGAGAGGAAGGCCTGGAGGGACGTTGTCCATGGGATCGCGATGGGTTGGACATGACTTTGCAACTAACAACCTGAAATCCAGCACTGGCTTTTTAGTTTAATACGTCTCAGTGCTTTATAAAACTACAGGAAGTCCCTGACTTACAACAGTTCATTTAGTGACAATTCTTAGTTATAATGGCACTGAAAAAAAAGTGAGTTATGATGTTTTTTCACACCTGTGACCGTTGCTGCAATCCCTCGTGGTCGCGTGATTTACATTCGAGTGCTTGGTAACTGACTCACATTTATAACGGTTGCACTATCCCGGAGTCACAAATTCCTCTTTTGTGATCTCCTGACAAACAAAATCAATGGGCAAACCAGATTCGCTTAACAACTGTGTCATTCATTTAAGAGAAAAGTCGTGAAATGGGGCAAAACTCAACACATTTCTCACTTAACAACGTAAATGTTGGGCTCAATTGTGGTCGTCCCCAACATACAACCGTAATGGAGCCTGCCCATTGTCGTCTGATGTCATAACGGTGGTTTGGCAATGGCCATTAACTGAATGCTGCAGTCATTAAGCGAACCAATGGTTTGCAATGGGCACAATTTTGCCAAAAACGGGAAGTAAGTCCCAGTTTTCCGCAACATCATCGTAAAATGTGGTCCAGGACAGTCCGAATAGCCCTAAGTGTACCCTTTTTGTCAAGAGCCTGAAATTCAACCTTGTCATCACAAAAGGGACTGGGCTGTCCAAACTTCGAATCCTGGTCATAAGATTTCTTTTTCGAACCAATAACAGGTAGTCCTTGACTGAACAGTTCATTTAGTGACCCCTCGAAGTTACAACTAGCATCGTAAAAAGGGACTTACGAACCGTTCAAAATTTAGATGCTCGGCAACTGGTTCACATTTATGACGGCCGCAGTGTGATCCCCTTTTGCGACCTTCTGACAAGCAAAGTCAGACAGTTCCACTTAACAACCTTGTTACTAACTTAGAAGTGATTCACTTAACCACCATGGCAAGAGAAGTCGTAAAACGGAACAAAACGTCACTTAACAAATGTCTCGCTTAACAACAGAAATTCTGGGGTCAATTGTGGCCATAGGTCGAGGACCACCACCTCTAGGTGGATCAATGAGACTTTGTAGTGCTGACAAAGATGTATACATTTTTACCCCCAAAAATATTTCCAATATTTAAAGTCTGGAGCATGGTATTTGGAGCAGCAATCCTTTAAATTCTTAAAGCACAGCTGCCCAAGTGCATTACCCCAGTGGTTTAATTCAATTTTTTTTACTACCAGTTCTGTGGGCGTGAGTTGGTGGGCATGGTGTGGCTTGGTGGGCATGGCAGGGGAAGGATACTGCAAAATCCCCATCCACACTCCTGGGGGGAAGGATATTGCAAAATCTCCATTCCCAGCCTACTCTGGGGCCAGCCAGAGGTGGTATTTGCCGGTTCTCCGAACTACTCAGAATTTCCGCTACCGGTTCTCCAGAACCTGTCAGAACCTGCTGGATTTCACCCCTGCATTACCGTACCGGGATTGTGATGGATGCAATCAAAGGTGCGTGCAATAACCAGAGCCCCATCAGAACAACAAAGCAGGCATTGTGATGTTCATGCCAGCGGCAGAGAGCCTTTTTTGTACGTGGGTTGTGATGTGGCACACAAATATGTTAAGGGAGTAGCCTTTTCATTATGTGGCATGCCGGCTCCCTCGTCCCATCTTGCTCCTTCGCAGACATGTGTCAATGCGAGAGAGGATTCTACAGCTAATTTGTTTCCCCAGGATTTCTGCCAGGGTGGATTGAGCCCATTAATGAAGACAGGCCCTACTCCCATTGGTGGTTAGTCATGTCACTGCCAAGGCTTGCCACCCTAATCTTCCTCCCCTGGCACGGCCTTTGCCTTCTTCCCCACCCTTGTGAAACTGCCTGAAGTCATTCTTAAGTGGGCTTGGGTAAAAAGCGTGTTTCCTCCTTTCTTTTAAGCTCAAGTGTGCCATCAGTGCTTCGCAATGCGCAATGCCTGTCAAGGTTTACCTGGGAGGTAAGGTGAGGAAACCTGTTGTTGTGGGTATGACCGCAGAAGTGTTTGGGGAGTGCTGAGAGCATCCTTTCCCTTGTAGTCTATTAGCCAACATCGGCTGTGGGTGTTTGTTTTCTCCATTACCACTTCGATTTCTAAATTCCTTTCATATTTGTCACCTGCTCCCTAACTCCAGATCTCCACTGTTTTATTTGGAGAAGTTTTGGAAAAAAAATGGTTAGGAGAAGGATTGCAGGATGCAAACTGGGTCGGGCACCTGCACCAGAGGTTTACCGTATTTTTCAGAGTATAAGATGCACGGGAGTATAAGACGCACCAAGATTTTGAAGAGGCAAATTTTTTAAAAAAAGTTTTTGCACTCTGCAGACTTCTCAAAAACGGCCTGTTTTTCGCAAAAAAAAGCCCCCCCCTTTTTTGCAAAAAAACCGCCTGTTTTTCACAAAAGCGGCCAGGTTTTTTTTTTTAAAAAAAGGCATGAATAGTTTAAGGAGGCTTGTAGAGTGCTCCTTGGGGGTGGCCCCCACTCAAAACGAGCAAAAAACAGCACATTCTTCGCAAAAAACGGCCCTTTCTTGCCAAAAAAATTGCATGCAATGCCTTTAGGAGGCTTATAGAGTGCTCCTGGGGGCTGGGGGGGAATTGAGCAAAACACAGCCTGTTTTTCGCTCATTTCTGTCCTCCCCAGTCCCCAGGAGCACGCTGAAAGCCTCTTACAGGCTCTGCATGGCCATTTTGGTGAAGGGGGCAGGGTTTCGGGAAGCAACAAATGCTGTTTTCAGTGTATAAGACTCACCCAGATTTTCACCCTCTTTTTTGAGGGGAAAAGGTGTGTCTTATACTCCGAAAAATACGGTAACCTTCCCAGCTTTCGGACTCATTCTGGAGACCAATCTTAAGGCCATATTCTGGTGAGAGAGAAGTTCTCTGAGGTTGGGCTCCAGTGGTGGGACGTCATAGAACCGGATCAGGTGAATGGGCCTTACCCACAAGTTGTGCTACTGGTTTGGGCGAACTGGCTGAATACTATCTCTGGTAGACTCTCAACACTAGTCCGAAACACTAAACCTCTGGTTCCTTTTGACTTTCCCGAACCAACATTCACCTATTTCCGCTCACCCATTCCATTTATTCAAATAATTGTCGAGTCGACTTGTGAAACCGGATCTGATTTTTGTCTCCCTCCCAGAAATTAAAGAGCCAAGTTCCTTAGAGCAGGATCGTCCATCCTTGACAACTTCAAGACTTGTGGACTTCAACTCCCAGAATTCCCCAGCCAGCTCTGGGGGAATTCTGGGAGTTGAAGTCCACAAGTCTTCAAATTGCCAAGGTTGGAGACCCTATGCCTTAGCAGTGTTTCTCAACCTTGGTGACTTTAAGTCCTGTGGACTTCAACTCCCAGAATCCCCCAGCCAGCATAGCTGGCTGGGGAATTCTGGGAGTTGAAGTCCACAGGACTTAAAGTCGCCACGGTTGAGAAACACTGCCTTAGAACATCCAAATCCCTCCTTGCCACAACCAATTTGTGCTGATCAGCTTCTGCCAACCCTGGTTTATTATGTGATCCACCCTGCATATCGGGCATTAATACGATTGAGCGGGTCGAGAGGTATTTCACGAGAAGAGTCCTCCACTCCTCTGCTCACAATAGAATCCACTATGCCACCAGGCTCGAAATTTTGGGCTTGGACAATCTGGAACTACTGCGCCTGCGGTCGATCCTAAGCACAGTACGCGAAATTGTCTGTGACAACGTCCTACGTGTCAACGACTTCTTCCTCTTCAACCTCGATAATCCACGAGCAAACAATCAATATAAACTCAACTGAGATTCTCTGTCATCCAGGCCAAAAAGGTATTAAGAGCTGTTAACCTAATTTCTTCTCCGGT